GTCAGCACCCCGCCACTTTCAGCCCTGCCTCTCCCCAGCTTGGTCCCCCTTTTCTTTTCTTTCCCTCCTTCCTCCTCCTGGCCCCAGCCCCCTTTCGCCTGCCCTATCTGCTGCACCGCTTTGCCTCTCTCCCCGGACTCCAGCTGCATTGCCATTAACAAAACGTTTCTTTTAAAGTTTGCCTTTCCTTTCTTCTAAACAATCCCGAGGCCAAAGCCGTGGCCGGCTCCTCGCGAGGGGAGGAGGGGCGTTTGTTTCATCCCACCTTCTCCTTTGCAGAGCTGCTCAAACATTTTTCGTGGCAAAAACGTTTGCAATGTTTCTTGACCTTCACGCCAAAGCTGGAAACCATGAAATGAGCAGCGTGTGTCAGCACTGTCAGACCGGTTGAGTACTTCCTCTCTAGTTCTGGTGCAACTGAGGCAAAAGGTTTGGGCTGGAGAATTCTCTTTAATAAGTATTCTCCAGCCCAAACTATTGTATTGGTTTAAAATGTGTGCGCGCGCAGAGGTTTTTCAAATGTTTGTTAACCATCAAGTCCCCCTCCTTTGGTTTGCCTGATATACCACGGGCTAGACACATTTAAAAATACTGAAATATGCTGGAACTTACATTCATGCATAAATAAGTTAAACTGAAGCAAATGAGCTGGCATTAGCTGCTTAATATGACTCACCATGAACAACTTTTACGCAATAAACGTAAAAAACAACAAATAACAGCTATTTAAAGACGAACAAAACATGTAGATGGGATCATGAGCTTTCGTGGGCACAGGCCACTTCACTTAGAAATCATTAACTTTTAACCACCCGGTCAAAGAGAAGCCAAGATTTACCACGCTCCAAACCACTATTATTTTGCATTATCTTCACGTGCGGCTCTTAGAAGCTCAACAAATCTTCACTAAGGTGTGAATTGATTAGTATTCCAGCTGGAGGAATATTTCTATTCTAGCAGAAGTGTTTGGATCTCTAGTCTTATAAAAATGAGGCTTCTCCACAAATTAGGGAAAACCAGAACTACTAGAACGGCCATACTGGGTCAGACCAAAGCCCAGTATCCATCCAGCCCAGCATCCTGTCTGCCGACAGTGACCAACGCCAGGTGCCCCAGAGGGAGTCAACTGAACAGGTACTGATCAAGCGATCTCTCTCCTGCAATCCATCTCCACCCTCTGATAAACAGAGACTAGGGACACTATTCCTTACCCATCCTGGCTAATAGCCATTAATGGACTAAACCTCCATGAATTTATCTAGTTCTCTTTTAAACGTTGTTATAGTCCTAGCCTTCATAACCTCCTCAGGCAAGGAGTTCCACAGGTTGACTATGTGCTATGTGAAAAAGAACTTCCTTGTATTTGTTTTAAACCTGCTGCCCATTAATTTCATTTGGTGGCCCCTAGTTCTTATATTATGGGAACAAGTAAATAACTTTTCCTTATTCACTTTCTCCCCACCACTCACGATTTTATAGACCTCGATCATATCCCCCTTTAGTCTCTTCTTTTCCAAGCTCTCTTTAATCTCTCCTCATATGGGACCTGTTCCAACCCCCTAATCATTTTAGTTGCCCTTCTCTGAACCTTTTCTAATGCCAGTGTATCTTTTTTGAGAAGAGGAGACCACATCTGTATGCAGTATTCAAGATGTGTACATCATCTTTATTAATAACCTGGATGACGGGATGGATTGCACCCTCAGCAAGTTTGCAGATGACACTAAGCTAGCGGCGAGAGGTAGATACGCTGGAGGGCAGGGGTAGGGTCCAGAGTGACCTAGACAGATTAGAGGATTGGGCCAAAAGAAATCTGATGAGGTTAAACAAGGACAAGTGTAGAGTCCTGAACTTGGGAGGGAAGAATCCCAGCATTGTTACAGGCTGGGGACCGACTGGCTAAGCAGCAGTTCTGCAGAAAAGGTCCTGGGGGTTACAGTGGATGAGAAGCTGGATACGAGTCAGCAGTGCACCCTTGTAGCCAAGAAGGCTAATGGCATATTGGGCTGCATTAAGAGGAGCATTGCCAGCAGATCCAGAGATGTCATCATTCCCCTTTATTCGGCTCTGGTGAGGCCACATCTGGAGTATTGTGTCCAGTTCTGGGCCCCCCACTATAGAAAGGATGTGGACGCATTGGAGAGGGTCCAGTGGAGGGCAACCAAAATGATGAGGGGGCTGGAGCACATGACCTACGAGGAGAGGCAGAGGGATTTGGGTTTGTTTAGTCTGCAGAAGAGAAGAGTGAGGGGGGATTTGAGAGCAGCCTTCAGCTCCCTGGAGGGAGGTTCCAAAGAGCCTGGAGAGAGGCTGTTCTCAGTGGTGGCAGATGGCAGAACAAAGAGCAATGGTCTCAAGTTGCAGTGGGAGAGGTCTAGGTTGAATATTACGAAAAACTATTTCACTAGGAGGGTGGTGAAGTACTGGGATGGGTTCCTAGGGAAGTAGTGGAGTCTCCATTCCCAGATGTTTTTGAGTCTCGGCTTGACAAAGCCCTGGCTGGGGTAATTTAGTTGGGATTGGTCCTGCCTTGGGCAGGGGGGTGAGGTCTCTCAGCTCTGTGATTCTGTGTAGGCATACCATGGATTTATATAAGGGCAATAGAATACTCTCCATCTTATTCTCTATCCCTTTTTTAATGATTCCTAACATCCTATTTCCTTCTTTGGCTGCCGCTGCACACTGCGTGGACTTTTTTTTCCTCTGTAAAAAAGCATGCCAGCTGTTTCACAATCTATGATTTTGATCTTCCACAACATTATGTTTTTATGCCTAGACCTCCCATTATCTGGGGAAGGGATACTTCACTAGTGGTCTGGCACAGCTTTCCTGCCGTGTAACTCTGCAGTCAATGATAAAACTATAGGAAAAATAAAATCTAAACTAATATTGATTATTACATTATTAGGTGCACAGGAATCAGCACACAGGGTAAGGCCAAGGAATGACATGTATTGTGTGCATACAGATGCAATGTAAAACAACACGATGGCTTAAAAATTAATCACCGCAATGAATATGCAAATACATTAATTACCATAATGAATATGTAAATATTTCCGTGCCGATCTGTCAAAAGGTTTTGAATGAGTTTGCCGGTCTGCGGCATAAATAAGGTTAGGAACCACTGCTTTACATAGCTGCATATGTTGTGTACTGGTAAGGACAGCCCTGACTGTCTAGCTCAGTAGTAACGCACTTCTCCCACCACCTCAGTAATGGAGCATCTTCCCAGTACCTCTAGGAGTAGAGCAGCAGCACAGTCTCCTTTTAACATATGGGGAAACTGAGGCACGGCACGAGGCCCTACTCTGCCAGCTTCCAGTCTAGGGCCTGAACTGCATAGGACAGTGAGCACGTGATCAAGAAAGCTTGTGGGCAACTCAAGCGCTTCTCAGGCTCTGCCTGCCCAGCAACTGGAAAGTCCTGTCCAGGTCAGGGAGTGTCATGACCATGAGGGTTAGCCAGTAGCCTGGGGACTAAGAGGTTAACTATGTCCCTTACCTAGCCAGGTAGCTGGAAGCCAATAGAAATGTAGGTAGGAATTTCAAACGGGGACAAAGGAATTTTGGGTTTTTCCCTCCTTTGTCCCTGGGCAGTTTCTCTCCAGATACTGAGGGAGACAGACATGTCTCTCTCTCCAAGAAAAGGCTCTTCACTATCTGTAAGTAGGGTAAAGTTTAGATAACTCCATTAGGTTTTATTGTTTTATGGTTTAGGAATGGGGATCTGATGTCTGTGCCTTTAAACATGGGTTTTCCTCTCCTTTGTAACTAAGCTCTTGGCCCATGGGGGGTCCCCTCATGAGTATATTAATTGGCGACTTTTCCATCTAGTCATTATGCGTGTAACAGGAGTATTGTGGTGATTAAAAAAAAGAACTTTTATTATTAACCTAGTATTGGTTCATTTGTGTGTGTCCTGCTTTTACTTGAGGGCTGAGATTTCCCACGTGATCACTTCCCTGGTTTCCTTGTCATTACTTGGGTGGTGGCAGCGGATTTTTATCCCCAAAATCTAGGTTTTTAAGATTTTGGGGGGAAGTTCTATACCCAAGCCTGGAAAGATAAGGTTTTGGGTACTTCTTCATGTATCGTGCCAGAGTGGGGAAAAAGCCTTGACAAGGAGATGAGCCGGCTCCAGCTAAGCGCAGCTGCGGTGAGACAGACCAGCCGCCTGAGCAGATCTCTAAGATCTTGGAGGGGATCACATTCCCAGGGCAAGCGATCTCCACCACCGCAGCCACTCTACAATCTAGAAGGTGCTAACCAGACCACAGCTAACGCTAGGAGACCTGCCCCAGAGAGCGTTCCACCTGCAGCAGCAGCATGGCCCTTCCAGACCACGCTCTATGGAGCGCTGGAGAGCTGTTGAATGTAGCCTCTGAAGGCCAGGCAGTGAGATACTGGGGGGCCGCGAGGGGCTCTCCAGAATGGAGAGACAGAGACCCGTGGCAAAGCCCTGTGTGTGTGACATGGAGGAGACACGCCAGCTCAAACTGCCTCCTCCAATGGGCTGCTTTGGGTCTAGCAGGGTGACCCACCAGACAAGGGACGGAGCAGCCTGAGACCAGCACCCCGTCCTCAGGCAGTGGCCAGCACGCAGGCCCTGCAGAGTGACTCCATAATCACCCACGGAGCAACAAGCCAGCCTTCTTTGGCATCTCCGTGGCCCCCTCGTCTCCTGGCGCTGGGGGGTCACCACACCCATGGTGCTGGGCCCTCCCCGAGTGCACCATAAATTCAAGCTTTGGGGGTTGCCTGAACTCAGAGGCCAGGCTCCCTTGCCAAGGAGCAGAGAAGAGGCAGCTGACACTGAATACCCGGCACCAAACCTGCTCTAAGGACTCCCAGTAGGGACAGCCACGCCCAGACTTCCTCCTCCTCTGCTCAAGGAGCCTGCTCTTTGTTCATGGAGCAAGGACGCTCCCGCCACTGCCCTGACCACACTGATTTGCTGGCCCTTCTAGAAGGACGTCGAGGCCATTCCTAGGTTTCATTTATATTCCTTGCCCATGCGATTCACCTTCCCCTCTGCAATTCCAGCTGGCCACACTGCTTGCTTTCACTTCCTGGCCTAAACAGGGTGCAGCTGCGCTAGGCAAGGGCTCACATGGGAGTCAGCTCTGAAAAGGGACGGTGCCAAACCACAGCATTTTCTTGCTCAACAGACTTGCTCCCTGGGGGATCTCAAAGTCCTTTCTGCTCACATCAGGCTGAAGGAGCCTGGTTTGGTACACATGGTGAAGCCAATAAAGCTCTGAGGAAAGGATCAGATTCTACTTTGGCTCACGTATCGGCACAAGTGTCCGGTCATTTCCAGTCACTCACGTCTTACTGGTGGGAATGAGCAAGAGGGAAAGCACCTCATGTGACTCAGATCTCAGGCCACGCTGGCAGGGCTAGCAGCTAGAAACGCCAGCAGTTTTGATTGGAATCACTGAGACCCAAATAGGGTCCCACATGCCAGAGAATGGAAGCGAACTTTAGAGTCGCCACAATTCACTCCGCACCTGGCTGAGTTCCACCAATGGCTGGAGTGAGCCCCATCCGCTCTCGGGAGTGCTGAGAGGCAGAATTTCTGCCAGGCAGGTGAGCTGAGATCCCAGGACAAAGGGTGCTGTGGAAGGGTTCTGCACTCAGCACACAGTCAACCTGTGGAACTCCTTGCCAGAGGATGTGGCGAAGCCTAGTACTTTAACAGGGTTCAAAAAACAGCTAGATAGCCATTGATGGATCTAACCTCCATGAATCTATTAGCCAGGATGGGCAGGAATGGTGTCCCTAGCCTCTGTTTGTCTGGAAATGGGTGACAGGGGAGGGATCCCGTGAGGATTGCCTATTGTGTTCCCTCCCTCTGGGGCATCTGGCATTGGCCACTGTGGGCAGACAGGACCCTGGGCTGGACGGACCTTTGGTCTGACCCCATCTGGCCGTTTTACATTCTTAAGGGAAATCTTGTTGTGCGAGACACAAAGCTCCTTGCCCTGGCTCGTCCCGTGTGCGCTCTCAGCCGTGTCAGGGGCTGGGTATTTAGTCTTTTCTATTCTCGGACTTCAAAAAGAAGGGCCCGGATTGTGTCTCTTCTCCATCTGCACTTCCTATCGCCCAGCACGGGGCCTGGCCTTGGTGCTATCAAACCAAGTCAAGGCCGGCTGGGGCTGCTGCCAATGGCATGCTCAGCTGCTGGCTGGCTGCAGTGGAGGGTACGTGTGGCTTGCAAGGTCTGTGGGGCAGGGATCCCCTTGAGGTTCTGTGTCTGTGCAGCACCACAGACGGTCCCTGCGGGGGCTTCCAGGGCGCTGCCGCTGGGGGCACGCTGTGCAGCCTGGGCAGATAGACTCTCAGTAGCTGAGGCTAGCCCGCTCTGCTATCCCCTAGGCCAGGCCTGTAGCCCCCCAGCCTGTCTGCTAGGGCAGCTCAGTGGTCAATGCTCTGCCAGCTGCACTCACTCACCCACCACGCTCTCCAGTTCCTTGTTATTGATGGTTATGCGGCTGGCAGTCACCAGGCGGGGAGGGCAGAATCCAACGTCCTCGGCGATCCTGTAGAGATCCTTCCACCACAGGGCTCCTCCCAGGCACTCGCCTACAGTCACAGAACAATTACACGCACCCTGCAGCCGCCCGCGCCTGGGCACAGTGAGCAGCGCGCAGGCTACCAGCAGGTTTTTAAGTGAGCCGCGGCCCACGACGGGACAGGGCATTCTGGGAGAGTCGGTCCATTCCAGGTAGAGATCCCCCGGGGCAAGTTGAAGGGCATTAGGTCAGGTGCCCGGGCATCTGGGACACAAGAGGCAACATGTGGGGAGGGGGAATCCTTCTCACTGGGCTCCTAACTCCCAGCTCACACCACTAGTCCTCACTGCCTCAGATCGGGTATGAAAATCACTCACCCCAGAGGACCCTGTGTTTCCTGATGTCCTCAGGCAGGTCACAACGGTGTATGCCGGAGAACACCCGTTCGGCCGGGGCTGCCCTTGCAGGCCCCGTGACTCTTGATTGCAGGGCTATTGTGTCTGCCAGTGTCCCTGGCTAGTGCACCCAGACAGCCCAATTAGCCACGGTCGCTAAGGTAACTGAGGAAAAGCACCAACCCCGCTCTCCTCATCACCTTTGGCTCTACCCAGATTAAATTTCCACTTTATGCCGGAGAACACCCGTTCGGCCGGGGCTGCCCTTGCAGGCCCCGTGACTCTTGATTGCAGGGCTATTGTGTCTGCCAGTGTCCCTGGCTAGTGCACCCAGACAGCCCAATTAGCCACGGTCGCTAAGGTAACTGAGGAAAAGCACCAACCCCGCTCTCCTCATCACCTTTGGCTCTACCCAGATTAAATTTCCACTTCTGCCTTTTGTTTCAGAAGCTGTGCATGACCATGGTGCTCCCGGGGGCAGGGGCTGCGACCAGAAGCACATTGGAGACAGAGGCTGGGCAAGATTCCTTGACCCAGCTCTGCCAACACAGCCCAGTCCTGCCCTCCATCACCCCCCTGCTGGCCCGGGCTTGGGGCACCCCCTCAACCTGTCCGGCTGGACCTCATGGGCAAAGGCTTCTAATTGCGATCCAGGATGTGATGGTGGAGCGGATGTGGACAGGAGAGCAAGGGAATCACTACGCCACACTACAAGGGAATCACTACACTGCTGGGCACGTCGACCCCAGTGGGCCATGCCGTCTGCTTAGAAGGGAAGTCTTATTACCACCCCTCCCCGCATCGGTCAGCGTCCGGCGTCTCCTTTCGTCCCTCGCGCAAACGTCTCGCCATTTCGAGCACTTTGCTGAACACTTGGCCTCGGGGTTCTCCCATGACGAGGCATTTTGCATAATGAGATCATGATGATCACACAGAACATGTTTTCCTGCGTCACAGGTCACTCTGCCCGGTTTAGAGCAACTGGGGAACCGATGCCCCGTTAGTTCGGGTACCTCGATGGCTTCCCCTATTGTTCAGGCAGGCTGAAATCCTGGACCGTTCGAAGATAAAGGCAAAAGGCCAACAGATTTCACTGAAGCCAGGATCTCCCTCCGAGCCCCAGACTTCATCCCTCCTCCTGTGGGTCTCTGGGCCGGTGTTCTGTTTTGCTGCCTGTCTCCCCTCACTCCGAAAGGCAGGATGGGGCAGAGGTGCTAGGACAGTTTTTAGAATAGGGGTACTTTGCTGAGCCCCTCTGGCTTACTCCAGGCCTCACTCCTCATGGCCCCCTACAGCTGGGGCCAGGAGCAGGTACGCAGACAGGGATAAGGGGCTAAGGTTGGGGCTGGGTGTGGAGCCTCTGTCCAGGGCCAGGAGTAGAGTCCTGGTTGTGGGTCTGGCAGGCAGGACCCTGAGTACGAGTCAGGGGCTGAATCCTGGACATGGGGCCAGGAGTCAACTACCAATGCTGGAGGCAAGGACCCCAGGCCAGCAGCCAGGGACCCTGTGTAGAACTTGGGACTGCACCTCTACCTCCCATGCCTATGGGACAGGGCCCAGTGTCGTCCCCCAAGCCCCGTGGTGCTCTAGTGCACGCATGTGCACGGCGCAGCCCACGCTGGCATTACCTTTAGCACTCGATAGGCCTCCTGCAGGACGGCTCTCTTATCAGGCGAGAGGTTAATCACACAGTTGGAGCTGGGCAGGAGATAAACACTCAGTGAGGCCCCCAGAGGAGGGAAGCAAAGGGGGGTTAGTGAGGCTAGGACAGGCGGTGAGGCCTGACCTTGCAGCTGGGCAACACGGCACTTTTGATCTCTAGTACAGGCACTGTTCGTCCAAAGGACACAGCGCTCCGGCCAGGTAGCCAGGCATCAGGTAAGTGCTCACCGGGTATTTCCGCAGGGTACATCCCTGAACTGAAGTCCGAAGAGCGAGAACCTTGGACAAGGACAGGATTTGCTGATGCGTGGGAAGCAAATCCCCAGCCTATTGCACAGAGCTCTGCAGAGGCCCGGGGAATGGTACTCACATAACTATATGGTAACTTTCGTCCTTCAGGCCAGCATCGCCCAGCTTTTCCATGTAGCCGTGGATGAAGTCCACGTTAGGCACCTGGTAACCAAACTTCTTCATATGATAGTCAATGTGCTTCTTTGCCACCTCTACCTGGAGGAGAGAAACAAACAGGCAGGCTGCAAACCACAAACTCTTCCGGGTGTTTCTAAAGTCTTTTCCCCTCCTGCCCCTGCATAGTCCCGTCATGTCTCCCCATATATCCCTCTCCCCAGCTGTTTTGAGTTCTGGATCACAGCTACCAAATCTCCTGGCCAGAGAACAGATGGGATCCCCTACAGCAACCAAGGCGGGAACTGGCCAGGGATGAGGTGGGTGAGGAGTCTCCCAGTTTGATCAACAAAGCATGAGGCTGGCAAAGATATTTGATCAAAAGGCTGTGCATGCTGTCCTCACCACAGTGACCTGCAATCACACCCGTCTCATGCCCGATGGTGCAGGGCACCGTCCCTGCACACCATGCAGGATGTGGCATGCTGCGCGATAGCCTGGAAGGAGCCAGATGATAAATGGCAAAATCCATTCATCCCGTTTCTACGCACAGGCCTCAACGAGGGCTAGAAAAAGCTGCGAGTGGGGAAACTGTGTGTCTCACTGACTATCAGTGACAGGGTCTCAATTACAGAGCCGCTATAAAACAATCACATGGTACCTTACATTATGGGGGCTTGCACCCGACCCTGCTTGCATTGCATCAAGCCTACAGTCACTGGCACGAAGGTCAGAGGCATTAAAAGCATATTGCTACGGTTATCTGGATGGGGCTGTATATGGCACACTTCCCATATACCAAAGCACTAACCCTGAACTACAAGCACCATGCTGTTCGGCCTTGGTGGGAGGAAGCTCTTTTCGGTTCCAATGCTGAGTGCCGTGAAGATAAAGCCCCGGACTTTGGTTAGTTCTATTCAGTTGAGAAACCTACCTGAGTGTCCGTCATGTCAATTCCTGTGACATGCCCTTTCTCCCCAACCAGTTTACTCAGCATATAGCAGTCCCTGCCACTCCCGCTGCCCAGATCCAATATCCAACAGGTCTCCAAGCACTCCGGGATCACCAGGCCGCAGCCATAGTACCTGCAGGAAGCAACGAGATCGGCTATTCTGGAACCACAGTGTCGCACTGCACTTCAGCATGCAAGGGAAGGGCACTTCAGGACACAGTTGCATCTGCCCTGTTTGTAGAGCAAACTCTACTTTATAGACATGGATTCACTAAGCCTCGCTGCTTCTCCCCATTTCATATTGGGCAAACTGAGGCACTGAGCTGTGGGCTTGCAGTGAACAGAGAAAATGACTGGCTAAGGAAATTATTTTCTGGTTGAACATCCTGTCGTCGCACTTTGGAGATGTGAGCAAAGGTTTTACTAGCATACCCAGCGGGCAGGGGATACAGGAACTGTAAGGAGAGTGACATTTTTAGGTCGATTAGCTTATCCTTTCACCTCCAGACGTGACGGGATAAGGGTTATGGGAGCTCTTTAACTTTAATACTCTGTGTTAATTTTTCCAAACATTTGCTGCTAATCGTACCTTTAAATCTGCATGGGCAAACGTTTCCACATGGAGTGTGGAAATTGCATGGCGGACCAGGTAGGGAAGGCTGGGCGAGGCGGGGCCTTCCCAAATAGTCTGGCATGGTCCAGCCCCTGCCTCATCCAACCCCCCCGTGCCCCATTCCTCGAGCACCAACCTGGGACCCCTTGCCTCTTATCCAACCCCTCCATTCTCACCCCCCAGCCAACCCCCCACCCTCACCCCATTAACCACCATTCCCCCAGAGTCCTGTCCCCCATCCAAGCACCTCCCTCCCCGTGCCCCACCTCTTGACCACCATCCTTCCGGAGCCCTCCTCCACTATCCTGCTCCCCCCATTCCCTGCCCTTGCCCCCTACCCCCCAGGTCCCTGCCCACCCCTTCCTGCTCTCCGCCCCTTGACCGCCCCATACCTCCATCCAACCTCCCCTGCCTCCCGCCCACTATCCCCCATCCTCTGTTCAATCCCCTTGCTCCCCACTGTTTGGCCATCACTCCCGGATCCTCCACCTCCTATCCACCTGCCCCCACTCTCTACAGCTGAGCTGGGTGTGGGAAGGAGACCCTGGCTCCAGGAGATCCGGGCTGGGGCAGGGAGAAAGGCAGCTCTCCCCACTGTGCCAGGGGTGAGGCATCGCTGAGCACCTGCACGGTGCTTAACAGGCTGCTGTGCGGCTGCATAGCTTAGAGAAGGGTTAGGCAAAATACACCCGCAGACCGCCCACCAAGACGCCGGATCCAGCCAGAGGCCCAACAGGAGCCTGCGGCAGCCTCCCATGCGCCATTCAGAGCCGCCAGCCGCAAGAGCCTTTGCATCTCTGAACACAGCCGCATGCTTGGGGGGGCGGGGCAAAGGGGAGTTCAGAAACAGGCCAATGGGAGCTGCCTGTCTGCAGGGTAGGCAGCATGCAAAGCCTCTCGCCCCCGCCCCCTGGCTTGCAGGATTCAGAGCAACACATGGCTCCCACGGCTGGCCGCTCTGAGCAGTGTGAGTGGTGTGGAGAGCAGGGAGCCTGCCTGAGGGTCCCGCTGGGCCGCTGGCCAGGAGCCACCTAAGTAAACATCTCCCAGCAAGAGCCTGCCTCTGGCACCCCAGCCCCCCCCCTTCCCCAACCCTCTGCCTGTCCCCCTACCCAATGTAATCCAAACCCTCTGCACCCCCACTCCTGCACCTACACTCCCTCCTAGACACTGCACCCCAATCTGCTGCTCCAGGTCACAACCCCTCCTAGAGCCTACACCCCCCTCCTCCACATCAGAATCCTCCCGTCTGCACCCCAATCCCCTGCCCCAGGTCACAGTCCCCTCCTTGCCACAACCTCCATCCCAGACCTCACACCCCCTCCATTAATGTTATGGAAGAGTGTGGCCCTTGACCACTTACCACATTCTTGGAGTGGCCCCCCATTGCCCACCCCGTCTTTGAGGGAACCTAGGTTACGAGTGGCTTCCAAGGATAACCTGGCCACTTTCTTACCCACCGTTTTCTCTGTTTGGGGCTCTCCACCAGGCCCAAGACTGGTTCAGGGAGCAAAGCTCTATTAGTTTCAGTTCTTTACCTGGACACAACATCCTCATGAACACACTTCAGAGCCTCCTTCACGAACGCGGGCAAAGGCCTAGCTGAGGTGACACAGGCATTGGTTTGCAGATAGGATAACCTGGCCACTTTCTTACCCACCGTTTTCTCTGTTTGGGGCTCTCCACCAGGCCCAAGACTGGTTCAGGGAGCAAAGCTCTATTAGTTTCAGTTCTTTACCTGGACACAACATCCTCATGAACACACTTCAGAGCCTCCTTCACGAACGCGGGCAAAGGCCTAGCTGAGGTGACACAGGCATTGGTTTGCAGATCCTTAATAATCCTGAGGGGGGGGGGACACAAAACATCCACACGTCACCCCAGCACACCAAAGCACCACAGGTCTAGTGCCCGCCCTGCCCCTGCTCCGGCCCTGGTGTGACTCGCTCTTCTTTTCAGGGACATTGGTCTGTCCCCCAGCCTGTACTCCTGGGAACAGGAAAGGAAAGGAGACTAAGAGGGGATAGGATAACAGTCTATAAAATCATGACTGGCATGGAAAAAGTGAATAAGGAAAAGTAATTTACTTGTTCCCATAATATAAGAATGAAATTAATAGGTAGCAGGTTTAAAACAAACAAAAGGAAGTTTTTCTTCACTCAGTGCACAGGCAACCTGTGGAACTCCTTGCCAGAAGATGTGGTGAAGACTAGGACTTTTAACAGGGTTCAAAAAAGAGCTAGACAGATTCATAGAGGCTAACCATGGCTATTAGCCAGGCTGGGCAGGAATGGCCTCTGCTTGTCAGAAGCCGGGACTGGGTGACAGGGGAGGGATCGCTTGATGATTCCCTGTTTTGTTCACTCCCTCTAGGCATCTGATATTGGCCACTGTCAGCAAACAGGACACTGGGCTGGATGGGCCTTTGGTCTGACCCAGAATGGCCGTTCTTATGTTCTAAAATTAATCCTCTGGTCAATTTCCTATTCTGAACCTTGTAAATTATGAGGTAACATTACTAATTATCCCATTTGTCATCAACAAAACATTAGCCCAAAGCTATAAACAAATTACAGTGGTACTGATCGAACACTTCCATAGCGCTTTTACCCCCTCAAAGCACTTGGATATTAACAACCACATTTTGCAGGTAGCTGTCCTCCAAATTTCATCCTCCTCACCTACCTCCATGAACTTGCTTCTTAGACTTCTAGCAATGCACAGTCATACCTAGCACCAATGGCTGGTAATCTTCCCCCATCACATCCAAATGAGTATTCTATGAATAGCTATTCTGCTGGCTGAAAGACTGAAGCCTTACAGCTGAACTTGTGCATTGCTCTCCACCCCATGCCCCATCTTGTGATTAGGAATTACCAGAAAGCCCCCACTACCAATAACTATGGTGGCCATCTGGGACAGGTCACTGATATAACTATTGCTGTGATATGCCTGAAGATGTCACTATGGGAAGGAGCAAACCACCACAAGGATGCAGCCAGCCAGCCACTTCAGGCCCCCAACATCCCAGTGACAATTCTGTCCTACAGAGTCAGGCAGACAGAGTTACACAGTGGTGAGGAAACAACCCCAGCTCCTGAGAAGGGGGCAAGCAAGCCATGCTGACAGGGAGGAATCCAGCTCACAGGCGAGCAGGCCTGGCAGAAATGAGATGTGAGGGGCATTGAATCATAGAAGTGTAGGACTGGAAGGGACTTCAAGGGGTCATCTAGGCCAGTTCCTGCACTCAAGGGAGGACTAGGTAATAATTAGACAATTCCTGCCAGGAGTTTGTTTACTCTGTTCTTAAAAACATCCAGTGATGGACAGTCAACAATCAACCCTTCATGACTAACACGGCTACCCCTCTGATACTCTGTTCTTAAAAACATCCGGTGATGGACAGTCAACAATCAACCCTTCATAAGACTGTGTGTTGTGTGAAGAAATACCTCCATGTATTTCAAACCTCCTGCCTTTTCATTTCATTTGGTGAGCACCTCCTCACCCCCTGCATTCTTTTGTTATGAGGAGTAAATAACACCTGCCTATTTACGTTCTCCACATCGGCCATGATTTCATTGACCTCTCTCATAACTTTCCTTGGTCTGTTTTCAAAGCTGAAAAGTCCCAGTCTTATTAATCTCTCCTCATACAGCAGCTGTTCTGTATGCCTAATAAATTTTTGTTGCACTTTCCTGAACTTTTTCCAGTGACAATTTTTTTTTTTAAGGAGGCAACCACATATGCATGCAGTATTCAAGATGTGGGTGTACCATGGATTTATACACAGGCAATATGATATTTTCTATCCCTCTCCCAATGATTCACAACATTCTGTTAGATTTTTTTTTTTTAACTGCCACTGCACATTGAGTGGATATATCCAAATGACTTCAATCTCTCTCTCTGCTGAGCGGTAACAGCTAATTTAGACCCCATCATTTTATATGTATAGTTGGGATTATGTTTTCCCATGTGCACTGCTTTACTCATAGGTCTTTTCTAAATTTATCATTTTTGTTGCTCTCCTCTGACTTTCTCCAATTTGCTCACATCTTTTCTGAAATGTGGGACCCAGAATTGGACAATATACTCCAGGCCTTATCAGCACAGAGTGGAAGAATTACTTCTCATATTTTGCTTACAACTCTCCTATTAATACATCCCAGAATGTTCGCTCTCCCTCCCCCCCAACGTTACATGTTGAATCATATTTAGCTTGTGATCCACTATGACCCCCAGATCGCTTTCCACTGCAGTCGTTTCCCATTTTGTAAGTGTGCAAGTCATGGTTCCTTCCTACGTGTAGTGCTGTGCATTTGTCCTTACCAAATTTCATCCTAGTCACATCAAATAATTTCTCTAGTTTGGTCACATAGTTTTGAATTCTAATCCTATCCTCTGTAGCACTTGCAACACCAGCTAATTTGGCATCTACAAACTTCATGTGTGTGCTCTCTATTAATTAAATCATTAATGAAGATATTGAATAGAACTGGATCAATCCCTGCAGACCCCATTCAATATGACCTTCAGACATGACTGTGAACCATTGATAACAAATCTTTTCCAACCAGTTATGCAGCCACTTTATAGTAACTCCATCTAGGTTGTAGCTCCCTAATTGTTTCTGAGAAGATCATGTGAGACAATATCAAAAGCCCTACTAAAAATACACCACATCTACCACTTCCTCCTTATCAAGGCTTGTTCCCTTGCCAGAGAAAGCTATTATGCTGCTTTGACAAACCCATGCTGTTACTTACCCCTTATTAACTTCTAGCTGTTTGCAATTTGATTACTTGAGTCTTTCCTCCATTATCAGAGTACTAAAAGCTGATTCTAAGCTGGCTGAGCTGTAATTTCCCAGGTTGTCCTCATTTCCGTATAAAGAAACCCCTACAGATCGGCACTATATTTGCCCTCTTCCACTCTTCTGGAAACTCGCCTATCTTTAGGTTTAGCAGTTTTCAAAGACAGCTGCTAACAGCCAGATATCTCCTCAGTTAGTTCCTTGAGTATTCTAGGATGTATTTCCATCAGGGATTGGGCACTTGGCTTGCTGGTATAATCAGGGCTCAGGACATGGGCAGCAGGTGTAAAAGGGGCTAAGCCACCCCAAAGAGAGCAGGAAATGTTGGATGCGGCACACTCCCTTTGGAGGCACCGCCAGCCTCCCCCCCGCCAGCCTCCCTGCCTGTGGAGCACTGGCAGGGGAAGCTTCCAAGAAGTGGGAGAGCGACGTGTGCCCAGTCTGTAGCCCCACCACACTTTGCCTCTTCCCCCTGAGCAACCCCACTTCACTGTAGAAGGGGGTGGAGAGGCACGACCAGTGGGCCAAGGGGTCCTTAGTGAACAAGAAGCACAAGTGGAGGTGGGAAAAGGGCAGGCCCTTGGAGAGAAGAGGCCAAGTGGGAGCAGAGCAGAAGGTGGGGCACCAGTGGGCTCCTCCTCCATTTCGAGGGAGCTTCTGTCGCTTGTGTCGCTTGCACAAACACAAGAGTCCCGCGCCGCCTGTGGCTCCAGCGTGACGAATGAGGGAGGGGAAGGCAGCAGGAGTCAAGGAGACAAGCGCCAATGCAGGGTGGGCGGCAGCGCTCCCCTCTCCCCCCATCCCTTACCTGCACCTCCCGATAAATCTGCTCTCCAGAGGGCACCGCCACTGCAACGAGAACCACCCAACGCCTGGCTCAGGCCACCTGATGCTACGGTGATGGGCACCAGCATGGAACCCGCGTAGCGAGTGACACCAACCACCCTAACCCTGCCA